TAAAAAGTCCGATTGCGTACGTTTTTCAAAGTGATAATGTATATTTTTCTTAATAATAAAATCAGATTTGTTGTATTTATTTATTGACAATTCAATCTTTTCTATTTCTGCTATAATAGTAGCTATTAATTCAATTTCAACGAACTACCACCAACGCCAGTCGTTAAAATGAGCGCACATGTTTACGACGAAATAAAAGTGTGTGGAAGTCAGCAACTTATTTGACACCGCAAAGCTAGATTTTCCCGAAGTGCATGTAGACAACACAATTGAGCATCTAAAAACTACAAAACAGGACAGAAAGGAAAATTAAAACAATATTTTGTTAAATGGAAGAATGCTAGCTAGCGATTAAAATAATTCGTTTTTTATCGAAGGTAAATGTAGCTAGGGCCAGGGCCTAGAGAATCTACCACTTAGATTGCGATAGAATACACATCTAGATGGTCGTTGGTTCATACTGGTCGGCTAGGTTAGGTAGTGGAAACTCACACCTTCTCTACAGTAGTTTACAATTTTTTTTGAACGAATACCACTTGGTACTAGAGGTTCGTAAAATACAGTAGATGTTTTGTACTTTATTGCCCAAATTTTACAATAAAGAATAGGTTTTAAGAGGTCAGACTGAGTGTGTATGGCTTGACTGATAGCTGGCGTCATCCCAGCTAGCAAGCGACGTTGACCCGACGTTGGTTGAAGGTCGAATAATTACGTTGGCACAACGTACTTACACAAAGGTTGGCGCGACGGCCGTTTTTCCATCGGCCCAACGTGGATTCAGCTTGTTGGAAAGACGTCGGCCCGACTAGTTGAATCTACGTTGGCCCGATAATGTTTGTGCAACGTCGATCAATCACGTTGGCCCAACGTACCTTTCTGATGTTGCCTAGACGTTCGTTTTTCCATCGGGCCAACGTCGATTCAGCCAGTTGCAAAGACGTCTATCCGACTAGTTGGATCAACGTCGGGCCGACGTTGGTTGAAGGTCAAATAATTACGTTGGCACAACGTACATACACAAAGGTTGGCCCGACGGCCGTTTTTCCATCGGGCCAACGTCGATTCAGCCAGTTGCAAAGACGTCTATCCGACTAGTTGGATCAACGTCGGGCCGACGTTGGTTGAAGGTCAAATAATTACGTTGGCACAACGTACTTACACAAAGGTTGGCCAGACGTTCGGTTTTCCATCGGCCCAACGTGGATTCAGCTTGTTGGAAAGACGTCGGCACGATTAGTTGGATATGGATCAACGTTGGCCCGATAATGCTTGTGCAACGTCGTCCAACCACGTTGGCTCAACGTTCGTTTTTTACTGTTGTCTAGACGTTCACTTTTCCATCGGGCCAACGTCGATTCAGGCAGTTGTAAAGACGTTGGTCCGACTAGTTGAGTCAACGTAGGACCGATAATGTTTATGCAACGTCATCAAACCATGTTGGCCCAACGTATTTATACTAACGTTGGTTAGACGTTTGCATATTTTTTGGGCCAACGTGGGTTCAGCTTCTTGGAAAGACGTTAACCCAACTGGCTAGAATGACGTTGACTCGAGGTTAAGCAAAGTTTACACGCATTTTGAGAAAAATGTCGTCTTAACTACTGTACTGGTTGAAGCAACGGCGATCCAAAGTTTGTTTTAGCGCTGACTTCAATATACCGGCACAATGAAGGTTGATAGGTCGAGGTGCATTGTAATTTATATGGCAGCATCACGACGTCGCTGTCTGACATGTTTTAGTCTGTGTTGAGTATTCGTTACAGTGTCTTAACTGTGCAAAATATTGATGTATTTTAATTAAGGCTTGTGTACTGCGTTGATCAGGTGCCGTACGTATCTCATTTTACACTATAAAAAAATAGATAGTAACGTAGAATATTCTAGCCTTCTAAAAGAAAGTACCCAATACAATAAAATCTTTCACTTTATTATTTTATTACTATAGATGAATGTATATACTATAGTATGTATACATAACATATAATAGAGTCTATATCAATTAGGCGTAATACACTAATGGTTGATTTAAACTCAAAACAAAAATGACATGATATTCTGTGCATTTAAAAAATAAAATCAAAATTCAGTCTGGGTTATTGAGATAGTACGCGGAAGAAAGTCCAAGGTGATCAAACCATTGTATTCCTGTGGCTTTATGCATTTTTATCATTAATGTCACAATTATATCAAATTTAGTAGGCGCATAAAAGCCTAAATTCAAAAATAATGATTTAGTGTACAATTTTTAATTATGTTTTCCTGGTGTCTAAAATTACATCTAAAATCAAATTTAAATGTAATATACGAAGATTTGAAATCCGGTTTAAATTTAAAGAATATAGTGCCTGATATAGTATGTTGTTCAGTCACTGTCAGTTAAATGAAGAACTTCTTCCACTTGTGCTGTAGCTGAAAGGAAAAAGAAAAGAGGTATATTGTGTACAGCGTTTGGAAAGATTCGTAATGTTCATGATAACGTATTAGTGGTCTAATGGGGCCAATGCATTAGTTAAGGATCAAATACATTCAACTAGAATTTAATTTATACAAAGTCAAATGAACATATAGGTTCCTCGAATAAGTTAAAGATCAAACAATTTAATATTAACTCATCGATCAGCTGCTTAATTGACATTATCATTTAATCAGTTGCGACAATCATGTATTCAATCAATTATTCAATCAATCACTCACTCACTCACTCACTCACTCACTCACTCACTCTACTCACTCACTCACTCACTCACTCACTCACTCACTCACTCACTCACTCACTCACTCACTCACTCACTCACTCGATATTTAGTTAGTTCGTTTAACTAATTACTAATACATGTAAAATCCAAACGTATGAAGTAGAAATGAAATTTACCTCTCTCA